AAAATTGTGTAAATAATTTTAACCTGGTTAAAATTTCTATTATTATGAAATTTTCTTAATCCTTATTCAAGTCCAGTCTTTATATATATAATGTATATATATATAACATATGTATTTTATATATATAACATATATATTATATATATATGGAGAACAGAAATTCTAAGGAGATAAGGGATCTGAGCAAAGCACGTGCGTCTATAAATGCAACATGAAGGATTTGTGGCGGAAAATGTTCTGTATGTAAATAGTCTTTATTTCAATTGTATTCAGATTAGTATTTTGGTGGTGAAATTCTGTGAGATATTAATTTGAGGGAAGCTGTGTAAAAGGTACATGGGAAAATTACTTTTATAGTATCTTAAACTGTATCTGAGTCTAGTTATCTTGATTGAAGCTTAATTAAAATATTAACATTAAAATGTTTTATGGAGCCCAGCACGGTGGCCTAGCAACTAAAGTCCTTGCCTTGAATGAGCTGGGATCACATATGGGCGCTGGTTCTAATCCCGGTGGCCCCACTTGCCATCCAGCTCCCTGCTTGCGGCCTGGGAAAGCAGTCGAGGACAGCCCAAAGCCATGGGACCCTGCACCCACATGGGAGACTTGGAGGAAGTTCCTGGTTCCTGGCTTTGGTCAGCACAGCTCCGGCAATTGAGGTCACTTGGGGAGTGACTCATCGGACAGAAGATCTTCCTCTCCGTCTCTCTTCCTCTCTGTATATCTGACTTACCAATAAAAGTAAACAAATCTTTTTAAAAAGTTTTATGTTTTATAGCAAACAGGCTCTTTATTTAAAATGCCCATGTTATTCCAAAGTAAAATATTGGTTGGTTACCTGTATTCCAGTTTAAAATGTAATATAACATAGAAAAATTCTAAAGTAGCACAAAAAATATTTGTAGATTCTGAAAAAATACAATGGGGAAATCCTAATTTTGAAGTAGAAGTATTATTTTTCATCCAAGGTAGAAGTAAGGTGAATGATAAATGACAGATTATCAAATTTAATTTTTATTAATTGTTTGTATATGGCCCTTTGCAAATTAATAATTAAACATTAAAACCCTGGTACCTTTTAGGGAGGCTGAAGCATTATAGTTGGCACTAAGCTGATGTGGTCAAACACCTTGAAATAAACTCAAAGTGACCAAGCACCCAGAATTAGACAAATAATTGCAATATTCTACCTAAAGTTGGACTGATGTTTCTAGAATTATTACTGGCAGAGGAATCATCTTTAACCTGAAGGGTCTGCCATCATGCTTTGGGTTTTATAAGTAATCCAAACAAAACAAAGCAAAAACTGAAAACACAAAAGCTTGTATCTAAATCTTGGGTTAAATCTCTGGTTTCTAGAAAACGTCTTTTCTTTTTTCCTGGTATGGGTTCAGTATTTCAGTTCTACCATTAAATAGTGGCATAGAACTTCCAGCACCCATTAAAAACTCTAAGTTCATATTAATAAGTCTTTGTTGTAACTTTGCTACATTTCTACATATTCCACCAAGATTAACAGGTTTTGGAGCTAGCAACTGCTGTCTAACAGTACTTACAGTAAATACTTAAAAATTTGTACTTTGGGTTGGCCAAAGTGGGAATTAATGTCCTTTCAAGTTTATTTAAAGACTCAATTCAGTTCTAGCGGCCTCCCTGTGAAACAAATAGGGGTGTTATGCCTGTGACGATTGCACAGGAAATCTGGGTTTTGCCTTCTACCACTTGAATTTTAAGCAAAAATACCATCCTTACATACAACCTACAGGAATCCCACTCTGAGTAATTAAGTGACCAACCTCTTAAAAACTTGCCAGAAGCAACAAAGTTTATAAAAACCTAGCTAGTGTGTCACTAGTTAGTTCTGTCTCTACCTAATTTAAAATTAGGTATATTTCGACAAAAATAAGATGTTACATGATTTTTCTTTTAACTAAAAGAATTCTAAATCCAAAGACACATTGATACAATAAGTAAATTATGAGAAAACATTACATGAGCCATTAACAAGATTTTCTTTGTTCTTTTCAATTAAAAAATAAGGATTTGCGATGAGACTAAATTAAAAACATTATTCATCTATTTCAAAGGCAGTGTTGGAAGTGCATTTGCACGTGCTCTGATGAAACAATAGTTGCAAATTCCCTTGGCCGCCCTTCCTTTACTAGTCTATCAGGAACAGCAACTTGGTAAATGTATTGCAAATATCGTTCCTGACTACCAGACACACTAGCTATGAATTCAACTATACCATCACCAGCACAATGAGGGCATTATACATGCTATCATTCAAATTAATAACTTCTTAGTGAACCGTTACTATTCTAGTACCCTTTAATTGAGCCAAAAATAAAATAAAATCGAGTTACTTAGTAAATGGAAAAGAGGGTAAGCAAGAGGCTGGTTCTAAAGATTTTTTGCCCAGTTAGTTAGTTGTTCAGTAGATGTTAGTTGGTCTAAAGAGCGGTGAATTCATCCTCAATTCCATTTATTCCCTGCCTGCTTTTTCGCCTCCTACCATTTCCTTTCTTTTAACATGTCAATAGCTTTTCATATGGCAAATGTCAAAATATTAGTTCTTTGAGGCCAGACATCATATTCTTTTGGTTCATCCTTAAATTTTCTATGTCAAGGCGTGTGGAAATCTGCCAAAATGGTGACATTACATCAGTGCCGAATGATGTCAAAGATTCCTTGAGCAATTGCAGTAACAGGGATGGAGGAATAGGAGAACACAGAGGAAGAAGAAAACTCTGCTGTTGTGTTGGAACTGGGGGTCCTTTTTAAAAAGGTTTATCTTTATTGGACAGGTGGAGTTGCAGAGAGATAAAGTCAGAGAGAGACTTTACATCCACTGAATCACTTCCCAAATGCTTGCTGTGGCTGAAGGTAGGCCGATCCAAAACCAGAAGTCAGACAGAAGCTTGTTCCAGGCCCCCAACTCCACTGCTTTCCCAGGGTACTAACATGGAGCTGGATTAGAAACGGACTATGTGGAACTTGACCCAGCACACAAGCGAGATGGTGGTGCCACAGGCAGGGGTTAACATGCTATACCATTACTCTGGGACCCCTTTATTTGTTTGTTTCTTTCTTTATTATTTTTATTTTAAAAAAAGATGTATTGTAAAGGCTGAGTGATAGAGGCAGAGAGAATATCTGTCAGCTATTGGCTCACTTCCAAAAGGCTGCAGGGATTTGGCTGAGGCTTGGAACTAAGCTGTAGCTAGGAGCCAGGAACTCCATCTGGGTCTCCCGCATGGGCATCAGGAGCCCAATCACTTGAGGCACCATTGGCTGCTTCCCCAGGTTCCTTAACGGGGAGCTCTCATATGGAGTGCTAGTGACACAGGAGGTGCTTTGACCCCTGCACCACAATGCCAGCTCATGGTCTTATTGCAGAGATTTGGTTTTCATGGGAAAAATGAACTTACTTGCCATCTACCAGCAGGGGTTCTAAATTTTTCCATTATAGAACCCCTAACTGAAGAGCTTAGGAGTGAACAGCTTCACCAAGCTAAGAAGTTTCTGTACTACAAAAACAAACAGAGCCTGGCACTGTGGCCTAGCAGCTAAAGTCCTCACCTTGCATGTGCCGGGATCCCATACCGGTACCAGTTCTAATCCTGGCAGCCCCACTTCCCATCCAGCTCCCTGCTTATGGCCTGGAAAAGCAGCAAAGGATGGCCCAAAGCTTTGGGACCCTGCATCTGAGCGGAAGACCTAGGAGAGACTCCTGCATTTCTGGCTTTAGATTGGCGCAGCAACAGCCATTCTGACCGCTTGGGGAGTGAATGATCAGACGGTAGATCTTCCTATCTTTCTCTCCTCCTCTGTATATCTGACTTTCCAATAAAAAATAGAATAAATCTCAGACAAACAAACACAGAAAAACATTTAGAAAAAAATGAAAAAGTAACTTACTGAATAGGAGAAAATGTTTGCCAACAATGAAACAGATAATGGATTAATATATAAGACTGCAAAGAGCTCAAGAGACCCAACAACAATAATGCAAACAATCCAGTTAAGAAATGAGTCTGGGACTAGAAGAGGCATTTTTCAAAGAAGAAAATAGAAAGAACCAACAGACATGTGAAAAGAGGCTCAGGTTCACTAGTCATCAGACATAGAAATAAAAATCACAATGAGGTTTCAGTTCTCCCTGCATAGACTGGCTATCATGCAAAAACCAAAACACATCAAATGCTGGAAAGGATTGGAACAAAAAGTACCCTAATCCACTGCTAGTGAAAAAATCCTTGCTTAAACTCTTGAGGAAATGTGATCTTGCTACTTTTCACTTGTTCAATGTTACAGTGGCAAATTAAGGCTGTGAGTATAAATGGGATTAAAGTTACTGCAAAAACTGATGAGGAGAGGGTAATGAAGAGGAGAAACTCAGGAGAAAGGGCGGCAGGGAGAGAAATGTGATTGTCTGCTTGGAACTACATCTACGGAATGCATGAAATCCGCTCTCTTTATACTAACGAAGACAATTTAAAAATGAAGATAAAAAGCAGAATAAACCTTTTATCATTGGGACTTGCATGTAATTGAAGATGCTGGTTTAATCATGGGAAAAGAGCAGGTGCTTTTACGAAGAAAGACTATAACGGAGTAGGCCTGGTGGTCTTGTGCTGATCATGGAAGAAGTGGTGCTGCTGTGATTTCTCCCTGAATGGCCCATCTGCTCATTAAAGCAATCAGAATGTGGCAACACCACATCTCAAAGTTCTAATTACACACACACACAAGTTTGTCATGGCTCCTTTTGGGGAGGATTCTGTTTTGTTGACACCCAAAGGAGCTTTGAGCAATTAGTTCAAAACTTGTCCAGATCTCTAAAATAAGAATTGTAAGTAAATAAATCAGATTGCAAAAGATGCAAAATGGTTGCTGTGCAGGTGGCTACAACTCCAGTGTTGAGATTTCAGGGAGCACAGAACAAGTGAGGTTAACTGTCGGCAACTTCTGCTTCATCAAAGAGATCTATGGGGACATCTTTCAAATCACCTTTATTGTGGTTGCAAAGACACAACGAACTTCCTTAAGTTTTATCTTCTCCCATTTGAAGTTTCAGCTTGTCATTTTAAACTGCCTTCACTATGAAACTGCTATATAAGAACATTATAAAATACAAACCAGAAGCTAAGCTAATTCTCTTTACAGTATTCAGATTAGTTAAAACAACATTGATTATAAGGATGAGGGAGCTAATTTGCAAACACCCAATTCCTTTTCTAATGAAGGATGGCACAGGTGACAAACAACATTAACACTAAGTTTCAAGCATTAGTTGTCCAATACTAATTAACTGTGGGAAAGTTATTTCCCAAAAGTAATTCTGACTCACAGATTCGTGGCTGTCATTACATTACAGTCCTTGCAGGAAGGTAAACAATAGCCTACAAGGGCATGTGACAGTGTTCAGGGTTTAGTGGACTACAAGACTGGATTCCTTAGAAGTGAGGCATAGTAAGTATTGGTATTAGTTTCATTCTCTTCCTCCAAATGACATTAAACACTCACAGTATCACTATTTCCTCTGCAAATATCACACTTGAGCATATCATATATAAAAACAGTCTGTCCTTAGTATCTTTACTAGGCCATCTACAGCTAATGCTTACTATATACACATCAGGAGTATGAGATACAATAGGACATTTTTCACTGATTTCATTCAGAGTAATCAGGGGCCTCAAAAGAAAACCAACAGTAAAAGAATGAAAAAGATCCTCCATGCCGTTTGTGAGCCAGACCAAAAGTCACAAACAGACATGTAAGTTCTAAGAGGTGTGGAGAGTATTTCTCTATTGGTCCAAATAAAAAATTAAAAGTGAGATTTTTAATTAAAGTGACACAAATTTGGGTACATTTTATACAGTGACAGACAGATACACACAAAACACTCACAGCTTTAAACTGACAAATTCCAGAAACTGAATCAAACAGGATAAATAAATTATATATGAAAAATCCATACAATTTGCGGGAAAAAAATAGCAGTTATGAAAAACCAAAAGCCTGGGAATTACACCAGCAATATTTAGAAAAACTTTCATTATTAGAAAATACTGGATTTAATGCAAAGGAAATTATCCCCACCCTCCATAAAAATAACAAAAGAATAGCTGTCCTTTATGCAACAGCTTTGAAATAATAAAAATATGGTTACGGGACTTTCCCCATGCGACCAGACAATGTAGTGCAAAAGTGTGCTTCCTGGCCACTAGCTGCTCAGCTTCCAGATGACGACACTGACAATCACAGCGCCAATGACGAGGACAAGAATGATGATGCACATGGTTTTTCTGGATTTCCGCTGCAAATACAAACAGAGCCACAGGTTTAGTGAAAAATCTCTACATACTGAGTTCATATCTGCAGTAAGTCCAATAGCTTATTGCCTTCAAATTGAGGGAGAGCGGTATAATTTTTGTTTTTCAAACATTTGTCAAAATACATTAGAGCACTATTTCAAAAATATTCTTCTGGATTTAATGCTATAACTGAGTAAATTTTTCTGAGCGTGTTGGTTGGGTTTAACAAGTTAAAGGGATTATAGTTACTGATTAAGCAGTAGATTGAGGTAACGTAAAAATGCTCAGAACAGCTTGAAAGTTTCACTTTCTTAAACTTTTATCAAAAAGTTACTATTAAAAACAAGTTCTCCAAAAAATGCTAGTAGGTATATATCTTTGGCAACATTTTTCTACAGTAAATTTAGCTTCCAAAGTCATTTCTGTTGTTTAGCATTAACAGAAACTGCCCTAAAAAGCTCAACACACAAGTAAAACTACACAGCTAACAAGGCATTCAGCTGGTATTTAAAACACAAAGATTAGGACCTTTGTCCATTCTCCATCCCTGGCTCCACTTTAGGTTTCTCTCTCTGTTTTAACGCCTTGTATTCCTCTCACCAACATGTAGAAGTTGTTTTTACTTATTAAAATAGAAAAACTTGCACATTTACGTTGTCAATTAGAAGTTGCACAAAATTTACTAAAAGATAGCACTTATAACTCTTTAATTATCCTGAAAACCACCAATACTTTTAGACTCCACCTATTCACCTGCTTTTCCACTGAATACTCTCTGCACATTAAATACAATTTCTCTAATGTTTTAATGTCGTCATGTGTAACTATTTTCTCCCAACTCAGTTAAACAGCAAACAGGTAATGTGCCTTTCTGAGAAATCCCAGGTGTGCCACTGTCATCTGCTACCGAGGGACACTCCCCTGGCACTGGGTAAGATTAGGGCCTTTCCTTTCTGCTCGCAGTTCATCCAAACTAGAAGGATCCATGGTTTGCAGAAGCTAAGGTTTAGTAAATTTAAAACCCAGGTTTCCAGGTAGAAATACTGGAAAGCTGCCTCTTTGCTAAGCACTGTGTTGTCTTACTCTCCTCTCACACTAATTCTCCAAGGCCTCTGAAAATTTGCTTAATGGGCAAGCCCTGGTCCTAGGGTCCAGGATCTGCAAGGAAGAGAAAAACTGAAATCTGGATATTCATCTACGGCCTCCAAAAATCCAAAAGCAAAACAAAGTCACAGATCAGCCTCACCACCGAGGAATCCTGGTTTCAAGTAACTAACAACCTTAGGACTCCAAACCCTGAATTTCCCAATCCTTTGTACTGCAATAACTCTGGTTCAACCCTTAAGGTTATGCAGATGAAAACCAATCTTAAATTGACTAACATATTGCTGAAACCTTTCACAAGGTATTTTAAAACTTAACATCTCCAGGCACCTTAAATGTGCTTATACACATGGACGCTCTTGTGCACTCTCCGCTTGTTTCTCTCCAGCCCCTGAATGCCTAGCAAAAGGCTAATTTACAGGACCTTACCTGATAATCGGCTGCCCTTGACAACTGCTGATTGGCTTGTTGAACGTGCACCTCTGCATTTTCTACATTGGCTTCTATACTATCTTTAAAACAAAATGCACATGCACAAAATTGTTAAATACTGATGATATCCCAATAATAGATCACTAGATTTCATTCAAAGTAAGATTACGTATGCTTACCAAGTTAATGTTTTACTGTATCATAAGGCAGATTTGTTTCCATCTAGCAATAATTTTTCTCTAAACTATTTCACCAGTGACTCAAACAACATACACAGCATTTGAAGGAAAGAAACCTGATGATCTTCACAACAATGCCAACTACGGTTTGACCTGGCAACCCCTGGGAAGGTACTGTCAGACTGCAATGACCAAGCCAGAGTCAGCACAAAGACTTGTCTTAGTCAAATATTACAGCTTGCTCCATGTCAAGACCAGTGTGCAAAATCTTCCCACCACCAAAGATTTTCTTCACCATGTAGGAAAAAACAGTATTTTGACTTTCCAAAAACATTATTTCCTCAGAAGAAAACTGACAAATAAAAAAATCTGAACACTAAAACTTGGTCATTATTAAATTATCATCTTGTTCCACAAAATTTCCCACCCTGGGTCTTTGGAAATGCAATCTATTTTAAATGCTTAGAACATAATACCTGTGTCTTATCTAGTTTGCATTCCCTGATGGCTAACTCACTACTAGGCTTCTGATGACTATCATCAGAAGTACCCCATTACTTTTTCACTGTCCATCACAAAACTCATGACCTAATTCCCACCTGGCCTTAGACAAAAGAGCAACTGTTTCATTCATTCATGCTTTTTCCTCTCTAATCTAGCCACACTTACATGACAAAAACCTAGTTAGCATCCAGGTAGCTGAATATTTATGTACAAAATAGCTTTATGCCTACTTATTTCACTGTATAATCATGGCTGCCAAGTCAGCATCATTTCTGTAACTCCTGGAAGACTGGCAACACTTTCTCTTTTTCCCTGCATCCTTTGTATGCCTTCTAAAGCATTATAACTCTGAGTCAGCATTTTGATTTCCAGCTCATTTAAACAACATGAATGGGGCCCACATGGTGGCTCAACAGATAATCCCTCACCTGTAAGCGTAGACATCCCATATCGGTGCCAGTTTGTTTTCCCAGCTGCTCTACTTCCCAATTAGATCCCTGCTTATGGCCTGGGAAAGCAGTGAAGGACAACCCAAAGCCTTGACACCCTGCACCTAAGTGGGAGACCCAGAAAAAGCTCCTGGGTTTGGATCAGCTTAGCTCTAGCCGCTGAGGCTATTTGGGGAGTGAATCAGCAGATGCAGGATCTTTCTGTATCTCTTTCTATCTGTAAATCTCTTTCCAATAAAAATAAATAAATCTTATTTTAAACAACTTCTTCTTCTCCTCCTCCTCCTCCTTCAGCAACAGGAACCATCAGAAGGTATTTCTGCACTCTCCTAAGGATCTCCTTTACCAACGGCTGCAAGGTTCCTGTACTCTGATTTCTTTCCTGCTGTGGGGAACTTCCCATATCCCCAGCAAGAGTTAATCTCTCCACTATATATTTCATCGCAATCCTTATCACTTAACTCAAGGACATCAGCCCATTAATCTTCTCCACCACTTATCATTAAACTGACATACCCAAGAATTATTGATATATATACTCATCCAGACTTGCTCTAGCTGCAATTCTCCATCTTGGAAATCAAATCCACCATTTCAGAATGGGTCAGGTCCTTAAAGTAACCCTTCAATTAACTCTCTCTCATGTACATAGTTACCCCCAGCTCGTCATCCTTTCGGGCTTTATACCTTTAAAGATACACACAATTCCTTTACCACTTTTAAGTTCCTAATCAGATGTAAGAATCACTGATCCAACATGAATGTTTACCTGGATTACTGCAACAGCCATTTAAGCAGTCTCTTCACTTTTAAGTCTTGCTATCCCAAAGTGTTTTCTCAAGCCAGGAGCCAAGGGAATTCAAGTTAGCTCACAACAGTCCTGAACCTACATCCTTCTATGGCTTCCCACTCATAATCAATAACCACAGTCTTCTCAATAGCTCAGGTTGCTACATGATTCCATTCCCTCTGATCTACAGACATAAGCTCCATCTCCTTGCTCTACTTAATTTGCAAACTGCCTCATGTGCTTCTGCCCAAGCACCAGAGGCCTTTGCCCTTGCTGATTCCTCTGTCTGGAATGTGTGCCTGTGCTTTGCCCCTCACCTCTCTGAAGACTTCAGCATTCTTCCATCTTCCAAGACTTTCCGTCTATCCTACATAGGCAGCAACTCCTCTACCCATAATGCCTAGACACAACAGGTCCTTAATAAACATCTCTTGGATGAATGAATAAATTGAACTTTAAAATTTTACCTTGTGATTTACTGGGGCCATAGAGAATGCTCAGAATGCACAAGTAATAATTGTATTAAACTAACAGAGCATGAGCTTCAATTGAACTAAACAATATATTTGAGTTAGATGTGCCCAGAGAGGTATCTTCACATTTCAAAGTGATAAAAATGAGCCAGATCTTGATGCAATTACACATTAACAGAAAAACTATCACATTAAAAACATAAACGGATTCTGAGTTTTTCTTTTCAAAAATACTTTCAAAAAAGAACTCATAGCATCTAAATAATAGTATTAAATTAATCTACCAAAGTCTATTAGAATAAAAGATGAAATGATTAAGTATTCCTTAGAAACTAAGACAAGACAGCATACAACTACAAAAATTACAGGTTTCTCCAACTCTTTGGTGCAATGACAATTAAATTGGGATAAAACTGAAACTAGAGATTCTGGAAATAAGCTGAGGTTATGTTACAGGGTTCCTCCCCAGGTCTCCACAGTGGTGGACCCTGATTAAATTTGGGGCATCTGAAATAGAGCTGGTCTTGTCAACGAGGAGGAGCCAACTCTGAGGTCTGGCATAGATTACATCCAGACTGATGCTTTGTCTGCAGAAGAGACTATGCTTCCGACTTTAGAGAATTGAAAACAGCAAGAAAAGAAACAGTTATTCTTACTTGAAACAGTTGCCACAGGTAAACTGCAGGTTGCTTGCCAACACCCTGCGAAATCTACATCAGTACAACTTACCTATCACGTCTCCCTGCTCATGAATCATCATTCCCAGATCCTTAAATATTTCATTGATATCCATGATATCAGCCTGAAAGAAAAAGGCACAGTGTCACCAGAAATTCATTCCCTGCTCCATCAACAGGGAAAGTCCAAACTGACACAAGGAAATGAGCATGCATCTAACTCTAACACATACATTGTGAAAATGTCAGGAAATTAATTTATCATGCAATCATAAATAAGCAAACTTTGAACAAGAGTTACCAGTTCTGTAAAATTAATAACAATAACAATAATAAAAATAAAGAACCTATCAGCTGAGGCAGGGTGGAAATAAAGTTTTTCCAGAGAGGAATCATGGGTGGCTGAGTTTATTTTATGCAATCCCATAATTCTGTTATCACAAGCATTTCTGCTTGTAAGAGTATCAAACAGACTTATGACACCCTTCTGTAGGGAAAAATAACCCATTAGCTTGACAACTGAAAATAATAAAATCTTAGGTATAAATTCAAAGTTTTATATTACAAATTCAAACATGTCTGTGTGAGCAGTGAGGGCAGCACTTTGGTTCAAAGGGCTAAGCTGGTGTATCAAAGCACAGGTTCGAGTCACAGGTGCTCTGCTTCTAATCCAGCTTTCTGGTTACCACGCTCAGGGATGCAGGGAAGGATAGCCCGGGTACTTGGGAGAGTGCCACCCATGTGGGAAACCCAAACGGAACTCTGGGTTCCTGGCCATCACTCTGCACCCTTAAAATAAAATAATAATAACTGACTATTCAATAGATTATACTGAAGTCATAAATGTCACTGCTGGATAAGGAAATTAAACATTCTCTTTTCTTCAATACATGATAAAGCTTTTCTTTCCCCAGTTAAAGAGTAAAGTTCAAATGTTTTCCTCAGGTAGGTCATGAAATCCACATATTCATCACGTGCCCGAGTCTCCCCTCTGTAAAATGGCAATGGTAATGACATAGTGAACTACAAGGAACATCGGTTTTAAAAGCTCATGAAAATACACATTATTTTAAAAAAATCCATAGACTTCAAATAAATTTGCAGCAAAAAACATTTTAATTCCATTCCTTCATGACTGTTTAAAGTCCTGTCACAGTTCATAGTTCTTATGAGTGAAGGAGTTAATTAATATAAAGAATCAATCATATCCTGTCCGGCACAGGGAAGATTCTTGACAAACTGTAGCCATTTCATTTGTTCTTAGATCACCTTCTAGGACCTAGATAGGACACAGGAACTGTGACCTTAATCTCTTGGTTGCCCACCCACCCACTCCACAGACCAGAAGAATACAAACAAAAGAAGAACATCTGTGCCACCCACCTCCCTCCATACTCCAACCCTCCCCACCCTAATCGCAGACCCCTCTCGGCTATGTAAACAATATTAAAATACATTTTAAAAATATGATGTCTTAAAATCCCCTGGATAGTTTTATTTTCACTGTTAAGAGATGTATCATGTTCCGACGGAGATAATCAGATTAGACAGACTGACATCCTCTCAACACTGCGGTGACTTGAAGATGAGTAAAACTAAAAATTTTAAAAAGGTAGATGGGGAATTATACTCTCTAACCTCAACACAAATACTAAAGAGATATTTTAAGAAGAAGGTATTATTCTAATTATATATTAAAAATACCACAAAACTGATAAATTCATTTGATTCGCTTTCTTGATTCGTCTCCCAGCATTCCTGAGGAATCCAGAAAACAACTCCTGAACAGCAGAAGAGCAAGCCAACCTTACAATGCAAGTCTTACTTCAAGTCGCCTGATAGAAGACTCTCTCTCTTGAATCAAGTGCAGGTCATCCTCGGTGATATCTTCATCCTGCACCTGCACTTGAGGCTGGATTTGGCTAGTAAAAGGAAGAGAATATGGAGAAGGAAAACACTAGTTTCCAAAACAATGGGACTTAACCTCTTTTTCAGAAATACTCACTAAGTAGAATACTTTGGTCTTCAAAATCAGATATTTGCTCACTTAAGTTCTCTAAAAATATAACAAATAACCAAATACTATTAATTTTCATTCCACTAATATTATCTTATTACAGGTTTAGAGTAATTTAATTATTGAAAGCTGTACTTTGCCAATTAGGTTTCTTGGCTGACTTAATTTCTTATGCAGTAATAATCTGATTAAAAATTAAGCCAGGACTGGCACTGGGCCTGGCAGTTAGGACATCTGCACTCCAGATCAGACTGACTGAACTTGATTTCTAGTCCAGCTTCCTGCCTTGGTAGGTCCTGGGAGACAGAGGTGACAAGTCAAGTCATTAGATCTCTGCCAGCCATGTGGGAGACCTGGGCTGAATGCCTGGCTCCATAGCAGACGTTTGGGAAAGAACCAGCAAATGGGACTTATCTCTGTTTCTCAATTAGATATTAAAAAGGCAAAAGCAATTTTCATAATTTATAATAAGTAATTTTCATCATATTTCTATATCATAATAAATATTTCATTTTGAAAATTTCCCAAATTTTCTATTTTCAAAGTATAAATAACTTTATTTATAATATAATACACTAAATTAGTACTAAAACTTAGTATTGTTCCAAGTAACTATAATGCATGCTTTGTAAGATTATCTTGAAATTGACAAAGTGTTTATATTTCTTACCTTTCCCAGGACACAAGATTCCTTTCTTTTGAGCTGTCCTCGGGAAAGCCACCCTAAATAATTTAGTAATGAGATGGTTTGAGAACGGACACAGAAACTAAGGACACACAAACAATAAAAATATATTTTCCCTAATAATCCAAACTGATTTTTTTTGTGTGTTTTATGCATGTGTACAGAAACAAGTTTGTGTTCTAAGTTATTAGATTAACTTCTTTAAGTAATATTAAAATTATGTCCTAAGCTGAAAAAGGAAGGACTTCAGCAAAGAGGCTCAGAGTCCAAATAATAAACATCATTGGCTTAGAGCAGGGAAGGAACTTTTACAGTAAAGAATAATGAAATAATTTGTGTAGGTTTTGAGGGAAATTAAAATTAGATGAAGTCAAAATTCTACATTCAAGTCATGATTTCATTGATGGTTTCCAGGTTTATATTCATTTTTGAGATTCACATGACACACTCACTCTGCTCCCGTCTATCACCTTGGTGTAATACAGAAGAAAGTTCTGTCTACGTTAGCATGTTCACAAGTGGAAGTCCTTCCTATCAAGTGAATTTGAAACTACTACTTACTCAACACTCCAGTCTGACATCTAACCTTTTTAGAGAAAATGCCATAATATTCTTATCTCATCTGTAATCTTCTCTTCTACAGCATGGACAAAATAAGCACAGTGACACATACCCATCTCCCTGCTACAAATTGAAAAGAAAAACTTGAAAATAAGTATTCCACTGCTCGCTTCCAAGATAGATATTCACAGATCCATATGCCTTGAAAAAAATCACACTAATGCAGCCTTTTATGGAGCTTTTGTCTGGTTCATTTTTACAATGCCTTTTCAAATACTTACAGACACTCTGGAACTGGCTCTCACTCGAGCAACAAACTCCTTCTCTCTCTCAGCAGCTTGCCTCTGGACCTTCTGAAAGTTTGTCAGTGATGTTGTGAATTCGGCCACTAAGCGATCCTTCTGTATTTTCCTTTGACGCTGCAGGAAAGAGTGGGAGAGAGTGCTAGAATCCAATCCTGAAGACCAACAGCATCTGACACAATTGTTCTACCTAGCCTTTCTTTTTTGTTATCCAATCATTCACTCTCCAAGGACCAGGACTTCCTGATCAACCAGTGGTAACATTTCATATGTTCAAACTCTGTATATTTATTTACTTTATTTACTGCAGGATTTCTCACTTCAAATTTTCATCCTGCTAAAAAGTGGGTCATGAGTTTTTGTTGTTATGATTTCGCAGCAGTACTTTTTGAGATCAACAAAACCTTATATTCTTATGAAAGTAGTAAATTCCGCTGAGTGAATAAGGAGCCAGTTGCGTGAAACTGTGCACCCCACAATCCTCCCACGATGAGTGTGTGTTACATGCAGCCAGTCCTGGAAGGACAGGAGACAATTATTCAGGAAGCATTTTCTGACTACTTATTTAATTATGGCTCAGGGAAAAGGCTTGGAAATAATTTTTTGCTTTATTGAATCACAGGATATACCTGAGCAATTAAACATAGCTTTGTGCTCTGTGAAGTAAGCTCAAATGGAATATTTTACCCCTTAATTTCTTCTCTAGCATAACAGTTCAAAGATCCCACAAAGCATTTGATTTCTTTGACATATCAGCATGGGTTTTAGGACTTTGATACCTGTTCACTAGGGGTGGTAGGCAGAGATCCAAATTCTTTAATGTACTTATCAGTTTCTTTGGCAAGTTGGTTAGTATACTGCTGCTTCTGTTGCCTGAAGTGAGAAAACATGCATTACAGCCAAAATATTAATATGCTTTTTCAAAGCTGTAAATCTGCTACTCCAATGAGCCCTTCACAGTTCTATTGTTTTTATATAACTACTTATATGTTTACAAGCTGGCTTTACATTTTCCCTATCACAACAAAGTGTTCACATTCTACTTTTTGATCAAATATTGAGCAACCAGCACATGGAAGGTTCCTCATGTACGTAGGGCAACAGGGCTCAGAGCAGTGAGCTGTAGCAGTCAGCTGGGAACATGTGACACCAGTACTGTCACTTGCTCCGTAGAAGACTGCTTGGTGCCTGCTCCTTAGTGTTTAAGTCCAGCAAAGTGGGAGTCCACTGTGTAATGCTCACACCTGGGAGCCAGCAGAGCCAGTAAAGTTCAGTGCCTTAGACTTTGCCAAGTTTCCACATCTCAGGCACATCTGGCCTCTCCCACCTCCCTGGAGCAACGCCTATAACCTAATGATGCTTAAAAAAAATCAAAAAGGGTGGTGAAGAGACAATAGTAGTACAGTTTAATTATTATTTAACTCACTGTGGAAAATGCAGCCTGTCCTTATAAAGGGACTGGAACTTAATAGAATTAAGTCGCGTCTGCATCTATAGGACAGCTCATGGAGAAAAAGCAGGATGTCTAAAGGAAAGACATGACACTGAAAACGTAAGCCTAACACGATGAATACTTTATAAATGATAGTATCAGTCCCTTTCATCTCACAGTACCTCTCACAGTAAACAGGGGTTGGTCACACCAAGGATCCTTTAAAATACTGAGATGCTGTGCATGAATATACTTAATTGGGCCAATAATGTGGCAGGTTAAGCTGTTGCTGTGCTTAGTAGGCTTAACTGGCATCTGCAGCACTGACATCCAGTCCCAGCTGCTCTACTTCAGATCAGCTCCCTGCTGATTAGCTGGGGAAAGCAGCAGAGGATGGCCCAAGTGCTTGGGCCTCTGCAACCACGGGGAATGCCCCAAAGAAGCCCTGGGCCCCTGATTTCTGCCTGGTCATTACCATCATCTGAGCAGCAAACCAGCAAATGGAACACTTCTCTCTCATTCTCTCCCTCTCTCTGCTTTTGCCTCTATCTATAACTCTGTTTTTTTTAAATTAAAATTAAAAATCATTTAAAGATGCCAGCCCCCCCAAACTCTTAAATATAGATACTTATATCTGTACTTATATTTGACTAATAAACAAAACCCATACATATCTCTACTTACCAAATCCCTGTCTATGATAAAGATTGTTTTTTTTTTAAAAAAAATTATTTCTTTTTATTTGAATGGCAGATTCACACAGATAAGGAAATACAGAACGAGAGAGAGAGAGAGATATTTCATCTGCTAATTCACTCCCCAAATGGCCATAATGACAGATGAGCTGATCGGAACCAGGAGCCTTCTCCGGGTCTCTTATATGAGTGTTGGGTCTCCAGGCCTTGGACCATCCTGCACTGCTTTCCCAGCGCACAAACAGGGAGCTGGATTGGAAGTAAGGCTTCTGGGACTAGAACTGGTACCCACATGGAATGCCAGCACCTGCAGGTGCTCAACAGACTAATCTCTTTGGGAACAGTAATATAATCAAAGTTCTCTGAAGAAGATCTTGACAAACATTTATATATATATATATTTGGAATGCCTACTGTTAATTCTATCAAAATACTGTTAAAGATTTTGTTCTTATATTTTATTTTGATAAATATTTTTATAAATAATGATGTATAAAAATATAAGACAATCATAATTTCTTCAAATTAATCTTCACTAATATACGAATTATTATTATGTATATTTTAACTTCTTCCACTTGTAAATTTTATTTCTATAGCTAATGTTGTTTGGAAATAGCACTTATTAAATATTTATTACTTAAAATTTGTAGCTGTTTCGCAGTATTAAGATTTAAGAATTAAGTTCTGAAGAGTATTGCACAAATGATTAATCTCCTAGAGATGTATTTTTCTGCAGCATGGAAACAGTTCTTTTGATCTGTCAATGTCACTCCAGTGTTTCAAGGTTCAGATAAGAAAAAAATATATAAAAAAAACTCTGGACCCAGTGTGATAGCTCAGTGGCTAAACCCTCGCCTTGCAACCACTGGGATCCCATATGAGAGCTGATTCGTGTCCCAGCTGCTTCACTTCCTATCCAGCTCCCTACTTGTGGCCTGGGAAAGCAATGGAGTATGGCCCAAGGCCTTGGGGTCCTGCACCCGTGTGGGAGACCTGGAAGAAGCACCTGGCTCCTGGCTTTGGATCAACTTTGTTGCAGCGACTTCAGGAGTAAACCAGTGGAAGGAAGGTCTTCCTATCTCTTTCTCTCTGTTAAATCTGCCTTTCCAACAAAAATAAATCTTAAAAAAAAAAAAACACTCCGTAAAATCTAAAACATACCAAAAACAAGTATTGCTATGCTATTCTAACTTGATACTAATTTGCTGAAACATATATTATATAAATTCATTGTATTTTTTTTTAACACAAGCAAATCCATTCTGAAATTCAACACTGCAAGTATAAAAATTAGGGTGGGGATAGTTCATACAACTAGATATGTATTGGATTTAAACCAAATAAGTCTAGTGTTTGTGAGACTGTAAGCTTCTGGAAAAAAGGCCATATAAATGCACAAGCTTAGAGTTCACTGTTTCAAAAGCCATCAAAACCAATTCCTATCTTAAAAGTACAAGAAATGCACCAGAAGAAATTCTTTGACTGGATAAACCATATCTTTTAAAATAAATCAGACCCATGCCTTTCTTGCAGAACAAAGAACGTGTGAAACACCTGGCATTGCCAACTGGGTGAAGCAGCTGGACAGTGAGCCTCCCACGGCTTCCTCGAGGCAACGGACCGCCACACTCCCTCAATGCCACAAAGCTTTCCTCTCCCGTGCTAATACTTACAGCTGTTGCCTCAATTCAGGGGAATCTTGGGGTGTCCCGAGCTGATTCAGGCTCCTTTGTATTTCCACAGCTATTAAAACAGAAAATTAATGTGCAATTATTACAAACATTAGTACAAGAGAAATAACGAGTGAGAAATTAATGTTAGCAACTGGGTAGGTAAAATAAGACAAAAGAGAAAGAAAACACTGAGGAAAAAGAAAAACTAAATGGTTTATTTCAATCTAGTAACAAAATGGGTTAATTTTCAAAAGGAAATTGTGTGGGAACATTCATGTGGGAAATTGCAGTAATAAGCCAAAAAAACATTTTCTTCCAGATTCCACTGAGACAATAAGTAAATATGACCACAATGGCTCGAGGACTTCCACTTTATTCTCACACACACACACACACACACACACACAAATCACTAACATGTAAGTGACAAGAATTACAAAACAAAAAGAAGTGGAAAAAATGTCAACAAATGGTGGAACCCAGGAATGGTTTCAAGGTACTTGCTATTCCTTCTGGAGCGTTAGAATATGTAAAGAATCTCAAATAAAGGGTTTAAAAGTCATGCTAAGCTCATAGTCTAATCTTATGACTGGTGCAGTTAAAAAAAGCTCTTAACATAAATGAAATGTCCCATAGCATTAAGTTTCACATTCCCATGAGTGAAAGAAAACAATCCAGTTCATTCACTCTTCGTACGGGAAGTAAGTGTTTTCTGAAGAGTCTTTACTTGTTTATGGGATCAAGAGAATGATGGAGTGTTCCACAGTGTAGGACAGCTTCTCTTCGCTGAGGGGGCTACACTAAACGGTGCTGCCAGACCAAAACTGAAGAGTTCAAATCCTGGAGAGGAATCACACAGCTAACAACTGCTGTGCCTCAGCTTGTTTCGAAGAAACGTCTTTTAACTTTTGTTGGAGTTCTTTTTCTTTAGACAGGACGGACATTTTCTGTGATCCTTTTAGCTATGGCTGCTTGAAATTAGTCAAACATTTTCCTTTCAACCTCAACAGATTTTACTGAACTGCTGCATTATAAGGACTTTACTAAAACTCTTCCCTTTACTCTCAAATGCTATGCTGGATAATGAAAACAACAACCAAACCAAACCAAAACAAAACAAAATCACACGAAACCCAAAACTGCATTGGTTTCTGGAGGCTAGAAGTGGACATTCGTCTCCATCTTAGATGGTTTCTGCTTTGTAAGAAGTGGCAGGCATCAGTTAAGCTTCTACCTGAAATGCCAGCATGTCACCTGGGCACCGGTTCACGTCACAGCTCCTCCGTCCAGCTCCTTGTTCATGGCCTGAGAAATGCAGCAGAGACTGGTCCAAGTGTTTGGGCCCCTGCTGCCATGTGGGAGCTCCAGAAGAAGAAGCTCCTGGCTTTGACTTGGCCCAACCCTGATTTTTGCAGTTGTCTGGGGGAGTGAACCAAGGAATGGATGCATTCTCTCTCTCTCTCTTTCTCTCTCTGTGATTCTTTCAAATAAACAAGTGCATCTTTAAAAACAAGGGATACAATGAAAGCTGATTAAGTATTAACATGCACTTGCAGATCAATTAAAGGCATTTTTGATTGGGAAATCCCATGCTAGCATAAATCTGAAATTACCAAATGTGGAAAAATGAACACAACCTTCAATAAGGTTGATATCAATCCAATTCTATTTTACAAAGATGTTTAGAACCAGAAGAAAATGGCTAACTGACTTATCCAAGGAGTTAAAATTAGAGAAAATTTGGAGTCACCATGCTGATTTCTTGGTTTGCAAAATGGTATTTTGCAGTGTGCCATGAAAGTTTTGTTTTTATTCATTCATTTAAAAACAATTTTGTTTTTCTTATTAATTTCCTCACTGACCCATGGACCACACAACAACATTGTTTCCTTTGGAAGGTCTTTGATTTTTCTTCAGCGACACTGATCATTCAGAAGCAGGTTATTTAATTTCATGCTGTTGTAAATTTTCTATTTCTGTCTGTTGCTGATTTTGTCTTGTGGCTTTTTATTTCAGGTGATGTATAGTAACTGTGTAGTAGAAACTATCACTTACAGATGTGAGGATACAGTGCAGTGTGCATCTCTACTTCCAAATCAAAGAGAGACTACCAATGAAACTGTTGAATGTATCTTGACAATAGGATGCTCAACTCTCTGCCGTTGTCCAAACCTGCAACATCAGGATACACTTACATGGCAGAATGATAGACTGATGACTGATTGTGAAGGACTATACTACTGTGATGATATGGGGGAAACTGCTGGGGAAGAGCTTGTGGAGGAGAGGAAAGGAAATCCAGGAATCTATGGAACTATATCATGGAATTATAAATTAATTAATTCATTAAAAGTCCTCAAAGTCAAAGACTCAATGAAACAGAATTCAGGGGAGAATCAAGATGGCAAAATAGGGTAAGGATACTTTTATTTTTTATTTTTTTTTTTTTTTAAAGATTTATTTTTATTATTTTGTCATTGGAAAGGCAGATATACAGAGAGGAGAGACAGAGAGGAAGATCTTCCGTCCGATGATTCACTCCCCAAGTGAGCGCAACGGGCCGATACTATGCCGATCCGAAGCCAGGAGCCTCTTCCGGGTCTCCCACACGGGTGCAGGTTCCCAAAGCTCTGGGCTGTCCTCGACTGCTTTCCCAGGCCACAGGCAGGGAGCTGGAAGGGAAGCGGGGCTGCCGGGATTAGAACCGGCGCCCATATGGGATCCCGGGCGTGCAAGGCGAGGACCTTTAACCACTTGCGCCACCGCGCCGGGCCCAGGTAAGGATACTTTTAAACAGACGAAGAAATATTAGCCAGTGTGAAGCAGAGAGGGCACATTCCAGGAAATAGAAGAGGACAGAACAATAGCAGAGGGGTACCTGGAGACTGACAGACACAGGAAAGCAGTAAAAACAATGGTGTGATGTTGCAGTGACTGATATCCTAGTGGTATTCAGCTAACGGGTGACCAGTGGATATTTACTGGGAGCTCCACAGGTGAATCCAAAGAACCACCTGTCCTGCTGGTCTGTTTGATTTGACCGAGCAGAGACAGGGCAGCAGCTCCCAGAAAGAGGAGCAGTGCAGGTCCAGGGCAGATTTCAAACCCCAGCCCGTCCCCTAGAGGCGTATGGGTGCCATTTTGCTTAAGGAGGCAAAGGGCTATAGGGCAGGACTATGCATGTATAGAGCAAGGAGTGAACTCATTTCTGACTCAGTGAACTGCAACAACATGGCATTCTACAGGTTCCAACCAAGACAGGTCCAGGTAGCCCTCAGACCTGACAGCCACTAGAGAAAGAGCTCTGGCAATGGCACATCAGGCAAAGAAATTAAGACTGCAGGGACAACAGTGAGCTGTGCATGCAGTAAGCTCAGTGAAAATTCACTGAGCTCACTGCATTATGCTGGTCCCAAAGGAAAATAATACCGACTATGGCATTGCACAGGTCGAAACAGATCCGTGTATCCCTCAGACCTAACAGCGAACAGGTTCCAGCAAGATCAGCACCAAGAACCTAGCTATACAGGACACCTGGTCTTTCCCTAATCCTGGGACCTGCTCCAACAGGAAGTGGGAGAAAGGTTGTAGAGACAACAGTGCAGCCTCAGCACAGTGTCACAGGAGGTGGAGAGTGGAGAGCCAGGAGCTGGGGCAACAAAGACCATAGTAGAAATCTAACATAAGGACCCAGACCTAGAACTTGCTGGAGGGAGGGGCACAAGTGATTGCAAACAAATAACCATGTGCCAATTGCAATAAGTAAAACTGAACTGTAGACTTGTGATGACAGAGCTTATAAACCTGCTCCAAAGAAAAGAATCTGATAACCAGAAGTGCAATGACCAAGAGCAAAAGGAGAGACAGACGCACATTTAATATTACTGAAGAATCCCCTGAAATGGAGCAAAACCCTTTGCCAACCTCAGAGTTCACTGAGGAAGACATTGAGAAAATGGGAGATACAGAATTCAAGACACTTGTTATAAAATTTCATATTAACAATGAGAAGCAGGTAAAGCAGGCATTCAAGGAATTTAAGAAATGTGTCACACTAGAAATGAATCAAATGAAAACTGATATAACAGAAATGAAGAATACAGTGGAGCAAATTGAAAGTGCAATGGAGAGTCTCCAAAATAGAATGAAGGAGGCAGAAGAAAGAAGCTCAAAATCAGAAGATATTTCCTGTCACCAGGCGAAAACAAAAAAAGCTGGAAGCAGAGCTGGATCAGGCTAAAAAAGTACTCAAGAATTGAAAGACACTATTAAAAGGTCAAATATAAGAGTTATGGGAGTCCCAGAAGGTGCAGAAAGAGAAGCTGGGTTTACAGATGTATTTAATGAAATATTAAGGGAAAATTTCCCTAATCTGGAGAAAGAATTGGGAAACAACATCCAGGAGGGGCACAGAACTCCCAACAGGCTTGATCAAAAGTGATCTTCACCAAGACACATGATCATGAAGCTCTCTTCAAATGAAGCATAAGGAAAAGATCCTTAAATGTGCACGTGAGAAAAAAATCAACTGACATATAAAGGAATGCCAAATAAACTCACAGGAGACCTCTCACAGGAAACTCTACAGGCCAGAACAGAACGGAGTGACATATTCCAGATTCTAAACACAAAAAATTGTCAGCCTAGGGTAATGTACCCAGCAAAACTTTCCTTTGTCTTAAAAAATGAAATAAAATTCTTCCACAGTAAAGGAAAGTTAAAAGAATATGCCTCTTCCAAACCTACAAATGATACTTCAAGATGTTCTCTTGACAGAGAAGAGGAATAGCACCCACAAAACCAAAGGCAAATGCAAAGAATATCCCAGTAAAATAACAACAGAAAACTAAATCAATGAACAATTCATTGCTAAAATGACAGACTCAAATTACCAACTGTTTGTATTAACCTTGAATGTAAAAGCTTAAACTCATCAATCAAACATCATAGATTATAGACTGGATTTAAGACAAAACCCATTTATTTGTTCCCTATAGGAGACACATTTCACCAAAAAAGATCAGCAGAAACTGTATGTCATGGATTTTGATATTTTTGTTGTTAGTTTCA